CATACAAAGTAGACCAAATGTAATTATTACTATTAAATATCTTTTTAGACTTCATTATTTTCAAAATAGGATCGAAAAATCATATTACTTTTATAGTAAAAATATTCTAGTATTCAAATTTTTACTATAATTTTGCTATTCTAATTTAATTAACATAATTTAGTTTTGTATTAATTTTCTGGTATGAATTCTCGTATGTAATTAGAGTAAAACATCTATTTAGCAACATTTTCAATTTACTCTTATAATAGTGGCAAGAATTTAATAAATTAATGTACACTTAACAAAATATTTATGATAATTTCTTGGTAGATATTATTTGCTAAACACAGAATAGATTTCCATAAAACCAAAATTATTAAAATAAACATATAAAATTGTTAAAGAATTTAAAATATGACGGTGGAAAAATATGTGCATTCTCATTAGTTTATATTGTAGATATACATGGGTCATAAAATGGAAATTTTCCATTAAAATTAAATATTTGGGGGGGAAAAAAAAGATATTTAAATTATACAAGTTTAGATGCTTTGTTTTTTAATTTTCTTTTCTGTTTTTTTTTTTTATTTTGTGGAAAATAGTTTAAATTATTTTAAAATTCATTTATATTTTTACCATAATTTATGGTATTTACATTATAATATAGTCATCTGCAGTAGTATATTTATTTAAAATAGATATTTATAATTTAAAATTGTCGTTTCCTGCTGCCTCACTTTATCTATATATAAACATAGAGTTTGTATATTGGAGTAAATAAATGATAATTTAATTTATTGGAAATAGATATGATAATTTTATAAGGATATTTTAACATTTTCCATTTGTTAAACTAATAAATATAAATATTAATAACATAATAATGGTTATGGTTTTTTTTTTGACATAATTAACCAGATTGAAATTTAAATTAATTTTTTATTGTCCAAAATTTCTTTTATTTCAAAATGAATAATTAAGTATGCTAACATGTAATTATAATTTTAGACTATAGATTTTTAAGGGAGTTGAATGGGGGCAAGAGGAATAGAATTCCTCGTCGAGCTATCGCAGCCATTCACTATACTTATTGTTGCCGACCGCTTATAATATAAAATTGGAGATATCGCTAAGTGAATTGAAAAGCAGTTCTTGAATACTTAGGAAAATACTCTGTTCCTAATAATTCAATTCAGTATCCTGAATACTGAGTTCAAAACAATTTGATACCTTTGATAGGAATATTTTGTGAGAATTGCTCCTGATTCTTCTAACAAAAAGTCTTTGGTTTAACGAAAATTTAACAGCAGGTTTTGAATTCAAACTTATATTATATAATAAGGTTTTCCTCTTCATCACGAGGTACATTGAAGGTTCCCAAATTGCAACTCTGTGAGATGACAAGAAATAAAGAAGTGAAAGCAGTTCCAATTTTTATGTTAGAAAATTTTTCTCTCTCTTTCTGTTTAATTTTTTAAGGACAAAATTTTTTTTAGGGAAAACAAAAAGATTTCTTAATTTTTTTTTTTAAATTGCTACAATTTCCAAAATTTCTTCAAATCTGAATGTGCCAAATATTCAAAAATAAATTATTATTATTTATTTTTACATTTATTTGTTGTTGTTTTTATTGCCATTGTTGTGGTATTGTTATGAAACATAATAGTTTTTCTTTAATCTTTTTGTAATTTATAAGAAAAAAAAAAAAAAAAAAAAAAAAGGAGAGAAAAGACCTACATAAATAATTCCAAATATTTTTGCATAATTTTTTTTTTCCTTTTTCTTAAGAGCAAGTGAATTATATTGCAATTTATTCTGTAAATGAATTTAGTATTTTTTCGAAAATTCTTTAGAATTGAAAATTTTCAAATATATGTTTTAGAAAATCTACACAAATATATAAGAGCCTAAGATTATGTAATTGCGATTAGAGCAAAATTTCGAAAGATTTGGTTTTGCTGTACAGATAATATTGTTTTTTCCTGTAAACTTTTATATTGTATAAGTTATACCATGCTATTCTACTCACAGTCTCTGTGATACTCTCCTTTAATATCTTTAACAATCTAGATGTGATATAGTTGAATTAAGCCGTATCGGACCATCGAAATCGAGTTGAAATTATATTCCGAAATATTCTGAAGCAACAAAATATACAACAACAATGATTAACAAATTACATTCCGAGGTATTCCGAAATATTTCGATTAAAATAAATGGCATTATTATTAAAATTCAAAATGAATAAGTTTTTAGAAGTAAAACTCTTCTCCTCAAAATTATTTTCGTATGCACAATTATCCAGAAGTTCTTCAGATTTTTGGAGAGCAATATTTCATTCTGAGATTTTCATTCAATTTGTAGGGTAGGTAGGGTAGAGCGTTGATCATTTTTTTTTCTAAATATTAGAGTAGCTTGAGTAGTCCTTAAAAAGTTAAATTATCAAAATTTTAATTGACCTCTTTTCGTATGCAAAAGGTCCTATTTACATTTGTGCTAATAATCAAAACTTTATCTGTACATTCTAACCAAAGTAACAAAAAAAAATAATCAAAGCCAACTTTCACTCTTATTCGATATTTTTAGAATTATTGTTGATGGGCTCATATTATAATTTGAATAAATTAATTCTTAAAAAGTTTTTACATGACTTGTATATCTGCATTACAAATTTTTAATACATAAAAATTTTGAATACTTTACAAGAGAATATTCTAATTTTAAACATTCAAAATTAAAAACTAATTTAAAATTTTCCCAAAAATTAAAAGAAAAAATTGATTAACTTATTTACATTAAAATTAACAAAAAAAAAAAATACACAAGTCTTAATAATATATTCTAAATCTGTACATATAAAGATGAAGGAACACATAATACTCTAAATATGTAGTATGTGTACCCTTACCAACATTTATATAAGAGTTCCAAACGACAAAAAAAAAAATCCTTTATTAAATTCTCCAAGTGTTAAATAACATTATTAAACATTCAAATATAGTTGTAAAGTTGCCTAAAGTGTAGAAATGTAAGGTGTTAGTTTTTACGTAAACTCATGTATGTAGCTTTGAAATACACGACAACACAACAAACACCTATTTGTTATTCAACATCATAATATAAGAGTTTATTACTTCTTTTTAAGCATACAACACTACACATCAATTCCCTCTTGGTCTCGTACTTTCTCTCTCTATAAAATAACAATAAATAAAAATAAGAGACATAAACGGAACGCAAATATACGTAGCAAGTTTACAAAATAGAATAAGAATATTTATAAAAGTAGGTATATAATAAAGAGTTGAATTTGCTTACGTGCTCTATTTGTTCATTTTCACCTTCTGACTTCTTGATGCTTATTCAGAGTTCAGAGTGTTCCTTATTTATTATTTTATTTCATTGCTTTTTGTTATGACATTTTTCACCTTCCGGCAAGAATTTGTTTTAAATCATAAAAAATGTATAACTATTTAATCAAAAAACTATGCAGTTAATTGTATAAAAAATTGTTAAAATAAATAGTTTTGTCCTTTTTTGTTTTGTTAATGATTGCTGTTGTTATTTATTTTACGAAAGATTCTTAAATGTTAGTTTAATGTAAATGAGAAAAGACACTGGTTAGTCAGTGTAGAGTGTATGTTTAGAGAATGCTGGTAATTATTAAATATTTTTAGTAACTTTTAACCCTGTAATATAATAAATGTGCCATTTTACTATCACTACCTCGTGAAAAGAACAGGCCGTCTTAGATAAAGCTCTTGTAATCGTACAAGTGGAATCTTCGATGTTAATCCTCGACATCTCGACCAGTGAAAAATAGTCTCCCTCTTGTCCATTTCCCGGCAGCTGTAACACGTCATATTGATAAGCTACGAAATCGTCCTGTGTACATCGTCAGGAGTCCATTCGATTTTCTAAGATCTTATTTTGGCTACATTTTTTTTGATGTCCCCAATGTTAACAGGGCCTTTCACCTGCGTTCGCTGCAAACCAAATACCTATTAATCGCAAATTCGAGAACAACATTTCATTTTATTTAAACATTAATTGATTTCACTTTGCTTCATTGGAGAATGTATACCTAGACGTGTTTTAGAATTAACACCTACCTACATAAATTATGAGAGTTGTCACTTTTTTTTATCGTTTCCTATTGTAAAGATTCTCCAGATTATCCATTCCTATTGTAAAGATATTTCAGCCGCACTTTTAAAATTACAATCAATTTGTTTGTTTAAGACGCAACAACAACCAGTTATCAATGCACATGTCAATTTTAGAAAGTTACTATTTAGTTAATTTTGTATTTTTAGAAACCTTAACAATAAAAGGGATAAGAGCAATAGATAATAAATTATGTTTATGAGAGAAATCTTTACTAGTAACATATTACAATCATATATTTGTATAATGTCTACAATATGATAAGGATATGACAATTTTTAGTATGTATTACGAAGTGTAAAGATTATACAAATAGGGACGATTTAAAAATAGATTCATCTGTTGCGACCGTCATAAAATTATCAATTTTGGTTATGTGTAAATATTTGGGCTCAATAGATATCTGTGTGTAATATGATTTTTAATTGTATTGTTACATATTGTAAATAAAATATTCTTTGTAATTTAAATAAAACTTATAATAACGTAAAACTAATAGTTTAAAAATAAATTGGAGTAGGGATACGTTGGATTGTAAATTTAGTATATAAGTCTTAATATGTAGAAAATAAAGAGGAGTTAAATAAAGATTGAAGAACAAGGAGTATTGTTTTTCATTTTTAACATCAAATATTCTGAGCAATCATATCAATTCATTAAATTTTGGTTACCAAATTTACCCTGTGTTGATATATTGTTCAGAATTTCAAACAAGATTTAACATTTTGGTGACCCCGACGTGATCTGGTCAACGTTAATACAACACGACAAGCATCGTGTATTTAAGAGGTCAGATCAGCATCAAGTAATCATAATAAAAGAAGTAGTCACGACTAGTTACGAGAAGTAAAATGGAGTCAGCAGCTGCAAGTCAAAGTAAAATTATTAAGCAATTGAAGGAAGTATATGGTCAATATACGAAGCTACCCGAAGAAAGGAAGACCGAAAAGTTAATCCAAGACAAATTGGAAAAAGTAGAGCATCTATGGGCATTGTTTGAAAAAGGTGATGATGACATCAGAGCCAAGTTCGAAAAAGAAAGAGGTCATTTATATTTCACAGAAGAGTGTTATAAAAATGTACAAGAATATTACAAAAAAATCAAGACTGAATTTGATCAGAAATTGCAAGACTTAAACCTAAACAAAGCAGGTGTTCTAGAAATCAAAGATGTTATGCAAAAACCAGAGCATGTTATTGAGAATCCAGAATTACAAAAATTAATCTGGATTTGTCAACGAAAACAGCAGCGATTGAATTACATGTTACAAAAAATTGTAATTCAGAATCAGCACGATAACTATTACAAGAGCAAATTAGACGAATTAAAAAATTTATGGCAAGAAATAAAAAATGACGATATCGAAATTGCTGGAATGATAAGAAATCCAGAAGAAGCTGGATATGACGTTGTAAAAGTACTTGAATTGGAAGAAGAAGTTCAAGACATGATAATAAGTTTACAAAAAAACGTGAAATTACAACCTCAAGATTCAGTAAGTCAAGTAAGCAAAGAGGTGACACCTAGCATCAAACTTCCAAGTATCGATATTCCGAAGTTTGATGGTGATTACTGCAAATGGATACAATTTAAAGATATGTTTTGTCAGATGATAGATGGACAAAAATCACTAAAAAATACAGAGAAAATGTGGTATTTAAAAATGAATTTAACGGGAGAAGCAGAGAGGTATATAAGACATCTTACAATAACAGATGCAAATTATTCTGTAGCTTGGAAGCTATTAGAAGAGAGATACAATAATACAAGGTTACTAGTAACAAACATTTTGGATAAGTTAATAGGACAACCAAGTATTGTACCTGGGTCAAGTAAATCAATTAAAGGACTATTTAACACAACACAAGAATGTATTATGATGTTAGAAAATTTAGAATTGGAAGTTTACAATAATTGGGATCCAATTCTATTACATATTTTAATGAAGAAACTTGACAAAGACACTCATGTGCTATATGAGCAATCTTTACAATGTACCAAGGACCTACAGAGTCTACAAGAGTTTCTCACGTTTATTCAAGCAAGATTTCAAGCGCTAGAAGCTATAGGTGATAGTAGAGACAAGTCAACAAAACTCAAGAAAACGGCTTACGTAACAACAGGAGTAATTTTGAATAGTAACAGTGAATGTTTAGTATGTAAAGAGAAACATTCATTATTTAACTGTTCAAAGTTTTTAGAAATGACGCCCCAAGAAAAAGGTTTATGTGTAAGGAAGCACAATTTATGCACAAATTGCTTTAAGAAAGGCCACTTTTGGAAAAAATGTGTTTTGAGTAACTGTAGAAAATGTCAGCAAAAGCACAACACATTGATTCATGATCTATACAAAAAAGAAGTTAGTCAAGGTTCCACTACAAAACAACAAGCGACAGTAAATATATCAATGTCAGAGGTTGAACCTGAAAAATATGTAATTTTGGGAACGGCAATAGTTCAAGTACTTGATAAGGCAAACAATCCAGTCGAATGTCGAGTATTATTAGACTCTGGTTCACAGGTAAACCTCATCACGGAACGTCTTCAGAAAAAATTAGGTTTGGATGCAATAGGGGAAAGTTTGGACATTCATGGTGTAGGAAACTGTCAAGTTCAATCTAGAAGTCGACTGAATGTGAAAATTATGTCAAAAACAAGTATGTTTGATACGAGCATTGAGGCTAATGTGATAAGATCAATAACTACTTGTCAACCGCAAAAATATATTGACATATCACAGTGGCCAATACCAGCGTCAATAAAGTTAGCTGATCCACAATTTAATAGTCCGCAGAAAGTGGATATGCTACTCGGCGTTGAGATGTATGCAGAATGTGTGAACGGGGGCCAATTAAAACTGGGAGCAAATTTACCGATATTACAAAAAACAGTATTCGGCTGGATGATTCTTGGTAAAGTGACACAACAGAATCAAACCAATAATTTTGTTGGAATAACCAACATTCAACTAAATGAACAATTAAATAAGTTTTGGGAAATTGAGAAAATTCCAGAAAAGAGAATCATGAATGCATCAGAGAAAAGATGTGAAGAATATTTCAAAAACACTGTGTATAGAGAAGAATCAGGACGCTTTGTTGTAAGTTTACCAATAACTAGTTCAGATAGCTTATTAGGAAATTCAAAAAATATAGCAATGCGAAGATTTTTAAACTTGGAAGGCAAACTGTCAAAAAATGTGAACCTAAGAAATGAATACATTCAGTTCATGAGGGAATATGCAGAATTGAAACATATGGAAGAAGTGAAAGAAAATGAAATTCCTGATATCCATTATTTTATGCCGCATCATGGTATAATCAAGCCATCGAGCAGCACTACTAAATTACGGGTAGTTTTTGATGCTTCATGTAAAACAACGAGTAATCTTTCGTTAAACGACATTATAATGAAGGGTGCAAAAGTACAGCATGATTTATTTGACATTTTACTTCGTTTTAGAAAACACAAATACGTTTTTACTGCCGACATCAAACAGATGTACAGGCAGATTAAGGTGGTACCAGAAGATCAGCATCTACAGTTAATACTGTGGAGAGAAAATCCACAAGAAAATATCAAATATTATCGTTTAACGACAGTAACGTATGGTACTAGAACAGCTCCGTACTTGGCAACTCGATGCCTTAAACAATTATCAGAAGATGAAGCAGTAAAATATCCTGAAGGTGCTAAAGCAATGAATGATTTCTATGTAGATGACGTCATAACAGGTTGTGATACTAAAGTTGGAATAATTGAAATGAAAAACCAACTAAAACAGATGCTCGGTTCAGCTCAATTTCAATTACATAAATGGGCATCTAATGATTACAGAATTATAGAAGAAATTCCAACAACACAAAGAGAAGAAGAGAAAACGTTCAATGATGAAGAATCTACATACATAAAAACATTGGGGCTATCATGGCAGCCAAGCATGGATACTTTTGCTTTTACAACACCATGTTCACAAACAGAAGGCTCACAGAAGTGGACGAAAAGGAAGATAGTATCTGAAGCTGCTACACTATTCGATCCTTTGGGTCTTTTAAATCCAATAATAATTAAAGCAAAAATGATAATTCAACAATTATGGATAAATGGTAGTGACTGGGATACGGAAATTGCAGAAGATTTAAAAGATGAATGGGTAAATTATCGTCACAACTTAGCCGCATTAAAACATTTGAAGATAAAACGTCACGTATTTGGAGATAAAATGTCATCTAGAATCGAATTGCATGCTTTTTCAGACGCAAGTGAAAAGGCATTTGGAGCAGTAGTTTATGTACGATCTATTGATGTTTCTGGCACAATTACAAGTAAAATGCTATGTTCAAAATCACGCGTGGCTCCTAAAAAAATATTAACAATTCCAAGATTGGAGCTATGCGCCGCCAAATTAGCAGTAGAATTGATGATCAAAGTGAAAGAAGCATTTCAAGTAAAAGCAGATGCAACATACTATTGGACAGACTCTCAGATTATTTTATCGTGGATAAAAAGTGAGTCTTCAGCATTTAAAATATTTGTTGCGCACCGAGTAGCATTTATTCAAGAATTTACTAGAATACAAGAATGGAATTATGTCAACACAAAAAGTAACCCGGCAGATTTGATTTCTAGAGGAACAACAGCTGATAAATTAATGGATTCCGAATTATGGTGGTGGGGTCCTTCATTTTTCAGAGAAAATGAGGCAGACTGGTCTGAAAGACAAGTAAATATTATAAGACTGCAAGAAGAAGAAAGACAGGTGACAGTTCTAATAAATCAAGCTGTTCAAAAACAAGAAAAACACCCACTTCATTTAATTGACCATCATAACTGCTTTAAATTTCTTCAAAGAACTATGGCATACATCTTACGAGCAATAAATACATTTAAGAATGGCACACATAAGAATGATAATAAATGGCTCACAACAGATGAGTTAAATGAAGCCTTATTAGAAATAATTAGAGAAGTTCAAAGAAATCATTTTCAAGAAGAACTCAAAGATTTGAAAAATAAAACATTAGTAAGACCACATAGTCGATTGTCTTCACTAACACCATTTATCGATTGCGATGACATCATACGAGTAGGGGGAAGATTAAACAACGCTGCAGTTAACGAATTTGCAAAACATCCTATTGTGCTTCCAGGTACAGACATTGTGTCAAAATTACTTATGAATCACCTACACATTCAACATTTGCATGCCGGACCGTTGGCATTATTAGCCATTTCCAGACAGAGATATTGGATTTTACAAGGCAGACAATTGTCTAGAATTGTTGTTAGTCAATGTGTATTATGTGCAAGAGCCAAACCTCAAATGTATACGCAATTAATGGGAGATTTACCAGAAGCTCGAGTGTTGCCAGAAAGAGCATTTTGTAATACAGGCGTCGATTTTTGTGGGCCTATATTAACTCATTTTCACGTACGAGGTAAAAAGCCCCAAAAAACTTATATAGCTGTATTTTGTTGTTTTAGTACAAAGGCTATACACATGGAAGTAGTATCAGACCTAACAACTGATGGGTTTATTGGAGCGTTAAAAAGGTTTATTTCGAGAAGAGGACTATGCAAAAATATTTATTGCGACAACGCTACCAATTTTGTTGGAGCAAAAAATAAATTGAATGAATTATATGAAATATTTAAATCAGAAAAAGAAAAAACCACAATATATAATAACTGTAGCGCCAAGGGGATACAGTTTCATTTTGCTCCACCAAGATCACCGCATTTTTCTGGATTGTGTGAAGCGGCAGTTAAATCAGTTAAAACGCTGCTAAAAAGTATTCTTGTGTCAGCTTCTCTAACATTTGAGGAACTATGTACAGTAACAGCTGAAGCAGAAGCCATTTTGAACTCAAGACCACTGACACCACTTTCGTCAAATCCGAATGATTTATCAGTACTTACCCCAGGTCACTTTCTAATAGGTGAACCATTGACATCACTTCAAGAACCAAATAAATATACTCAAAATCTGTCATCATTGTCAAGATGGAAACTAGTTGCAGCTATTAGACAAGAATTTTGGAAAAGATGGACAAACGAATATTTACTAGAGCTACAACATAGATATAAATGGAAAACATCAACAGAAAATATAAAACCGGGATTAATTGTAATTATGAAAGAAGAAAATTTACCCCCGTTGAAGTGGCCAATAGCAAGAATTATAGAAGTTATCAAGGGTAAAGATAATTTGGTAAGAGTAGCTGTTGTAAAAACAGCACACGGAACATATAAAAGAGCAATTCACAATTTAGCTCCGTTACCAATAGAGAGTTCCGATACTCAATTAACATCACCTGAGAGTTCTAAACGAAAATTAGAAAAAACAGATGAGAATACAAAGGCGAAATGGAAAAAAGGGAATAAATATTCATCACATACAACATTATTTATGATCTTGGCATTAGTATTCTTACCGTTAGTAGTATTTGGATCTTCAGTACCTTATCAAATTACACAACTTAACAATAGCGGTGTATACTTCGAGAAATTAGGGGAGGGACAACTTATTGCAACTAATTGGAACTTAGTAGTATATCACAATATGAGTGATTATTGGAATTACAACAAGGCCATTATAGAAGGTATAAACCAAATGACAAGTATAGCAGACACAATGAATGAAAAAGAACTATCAATGTTAATATTAGATCGGTTCAAACATAAACTTCAAGAACTACATGAAAGAAATCAACTCTTGTTCCCAACCACCGTCAGTCAGCAGCGTTCCAAACGAGGACTAATCAACATAGCAGGCAACATTGCAAATAAATTATTTGGAGTTCTAGATGATGAATACGCAGAAAAAATAGAAAAAATTATGGGAGAATTTGAGAACAAACAAACAAAATCCTTTCATATGATTCAAAATCAAACGTCAATCATTGAGGCCACAGTTAATTTATTTAAAAAGAGTCAGGCTGAAAGATTGCAACAATTAAAGGTTATTGATGAAGAAATACATGAAGTAAATCGTACATTACAACACTTAACACCCATCCAGCAAAATGAAAAGCTTCAAAAGGTATTTTTAATGTTGAGTCAATACATGACTCTAGTAATTGACGAGTTGGAAAAAATTCAATTAACTATTTTAAATATTATTCATGATGTTCATCATGAAAGATTCAACACACTGATATTAAAACCTCAACAACTTGTTGAATATTTAGAAGAATTACAAAAGGTCATTCCAGCAGAATTGCAGGTACCAACTATAACACAGGTGTATGGAATAACAAGAGTCAAATCAAAAATAAACAACGGCTCTGTCATATTCACGTTAAGCATTCCTTTAATAAGATCATTGGAATTGGAAATATTTAGAATTGTGCCATTCCCAACGAGAATAAACAACACATTTGTTAGTATAGAACCAGATAAGGAAATTTTGATGACAAATCTACATAAAGATTTAGCATATACCTTATCAACAGCCGAATGGCTTAATTGTATTTCATATAACAATGAAAATTATATATGTAAACAACTCCGGCCACTTGTCACCAAAGATGCAAAAGAAGTCGAATGTGAATTTAATTTAATAGCACAACAATCAATTGCGGATAGATGCAAAATCAAAATAACAAAACCAAGTAGAACATGGATTCAAATCATCAGAAAAAATTCATGGTTGTACTCATTAAATAGCGAATATCTGTATAATATTGTTTGCAATAATTCTGCATACCAAATAAGATTGCAAGGCAATGGTATAATAACATTCAATCAAAACTGTTTGTTAAAAGATAAAGAGCAGATCCTTCAAACGTTTAAAATAATCAACGGCAACTTCAGCAATTCATTTCTGCAGCCACACGTACTACCCCAAGTACAACACCAAATTGACTCTGCTATGTTCAGCCAAGCACATTTTGATCTGTTAAATATAACCGATTCGTTTTCTCTTGAGTATGGTAAAATCAAACAACATATACGAACCTTGAAGGAACAAGAAAACAACTACGAAGAAATTTCCAATCACGACATACATCAATATATTATAAGTTATTTGGCAATTGGGTTCTGCATCATCACCGTTACAACATATGTGGTCAAAAAATATAAAACTAAACCATTATCTAAAGCAATAACAGTAACAGCAAATGATCTTAAGGTTTGATGTGCAAGCAATCAACGCGGGGGAGAATGTTTAAGACGCAACAACAACAACCAGTTATCAATGCACATGTCAATTTTAGAAAGTTACTATTTAGTTAATTTTGTATTTTTAGAAACCTTAACAATAAAAGGGATAAGAGCAATAGATAATAAATTATGTTTATGAGAGAAATCTTTACTAGTAACATATTACAATCATATATTTGTATAATGTCTACAATATGATAAGGATATGACAATTTTTAGTATGTATTACGAAGTGTAAAGATTATACAAATAGGGACGATTTAAAAATAGATTCATCTGTTGCGACCGTCATAAAATTATCAATTTTGGTTATGTGTAAATATTTGGGCTCAATAGATATCTGTGTGTAATATGATTTTTAATTGTATTGTTACATATTGTAAATAAAATATTCTTTGTAATTTAAATAAAACTTATAATAACGTAAAACTAATAGTTTAAAAATAAATTGGAGTAGGGATACGTTGGATTGTAAATTTAGTATATAAGTCTTAATATGTAGAAAATAAAGAGGAGTTAAATAAAGATTGAAGAACAAGGAGTATTGTTTTTCATTTTTAACATCAAATATTCTGAGCAATCATATCAATTCATTAAATTTTGGTTACCAAATTTACCCTGTGTTGATATATTGTTCAGAATTTCAAACAAGATTTAACATTGTTAATATTCTATATTAAAAACTAGCCATTTCTAGTGAAGCACAAAAAAAAATACTCTTGGAATTTATCTCAGAAACCATTTCAAGAATAGCTTTGAAAAACCATTTAAAAATGCTTGATGTGCCATTATTTTATAAAAATATTAAAGTGTTCAAATTGAGTACAATTTTGTTTTCGAAAACTGTTAATATAAAAAGCAAAAAGAGCGATAAAGAATTTTTTTTATGCTCTTTTCAACAATTGAAAATTAAAAAGAAAAAAAAAATTTTAAAATGAATATTAGTATATCCTTTAAATCCTTGATAGGAAAGGCAGAAAAATAAAAATTATGTTTGCAACCAATTGAAATTCATTTTGTATCCGCGATTATGCTTATAAAATGTAAAATATCTACGGTATAATATGATATTCCCTTGAAATCATCTGGTTTCAATATGAATTTGAATGAAAATAAAATAAAAGAAGATCAATAAAAAAGCTATTTTTATCTTCTCTTACCTTCCTAGCTAACAATACTAAAAAAGTATAAAATATTTATGAAATGCTACATAAAATATTTAAGTTGTGAGATAGAAAAGAATTTTTTTTTTAAATAGAATTTCTTCTTTTTTTGATTAATTGACAATACGATTTGGAAATTTTTGATTTTTATGTGAAAAAAGAAAATTATTTCATTACCATATTAGAATTTTAAAGAATTTTATCCATAGGTTTTGGTATTGGATGAAAGAGTACATATTAGTTTTATACTTGTAAAGCATGTACAGTAATAACAAGCATTTGCCACTTAACAGTGCTAATTAAAGTGGGCCTTTTTCCGCTCTTAAAAATTTCTAGTTTTTTAATACTAATAAATTTAGAAATGTACTCATCTCTCTTGTTAATTTGTGTGCTACGCCAAATCGCTTCTACTTCCTATAAAGAACTGCAGATTGCGCCTTCTATAAAAGTCAATTGCTTACCTCAAAACATCCGAATCCGGAGGCTTTCAACCATCAGCAGATTATTATTGAAGCTGCACCCTGTAATTATGTCGATGAGCTCTAGAAACGAATATATTTAGTTGTTATTTAAGTAATTATTCGAGAATCGTCATATGTTAAGTTATTTGACAGTCACTTTCATTGATTTGACTTTCATTCTATCTAAATAAGAATCGTAAGAATCTTGAATAAGAATGAAGTTCAGATGATCCTTTCCGAATTTGTAACTGAAATCGTAAGGAACCACATTTTTGTGCTACAATTCGTTTGAGTGTACTTGGTATCTATAATAAGTTGTGCATCTAAGACTGGTTTGTTGTTTTTTGTTTTGAGTTATCCATTTTGTACGAAACATACTCGTAGTCACCCATGGCATAGCTCCGTTTACAATTGGAAGGCCAGTTTAAAAATGAGCGCGCCTAGTATCAAGTTAACATACAAAACACTATGCTATTTTCTAGCAGCGTAGTTTCTGGCGTATGCTGTTCCACCTTAACATGAGATGCCTACAGTACGCTGTCGTATATATATCTGATTGAAATTAGCGAAGCAAGGGATTCGACGCAAGACATCGTTACGACACGATAACTTTGGTTTATGTAACTTTGGTTTATTTCAATCACGTTTTTATCCTCAGCATTTAACCGGACCGATTATGAGGTTGAAGTAAAATTTCTATTAAAATATAAATTGAATAGTAACATTTATCAGTTTAAAAATAATACATAGTCACCTTTGGCAGAGCTTCGTATACAATAGCAAGACTAATTTAAACGGGAAAGCGAAAAGTATATCGAGTTCGAATACTAAACACCTAGCGGCACAGTCCTGGGCGTATTCTGTTACACCTTAACTTGAGGTGCCTGCCGTTTGCTGTCATATATATATCTGGCTGAGATTAACAAAGCAAGGAATTCGCCGAGAGGTATCGCTACGACGCGAATGTAACTTTGGTTTATTTCAATCACTTTTTTATACCACACCATTACCTACCATATTAGGTGGCAGTCAAATTATGAGTCTCTTATTATAATATTTATAAATTGAATATTAAAGTTTATTATTTTAAAAATACTTTCTTAAATATTTTCTTGTCACATTAAATAACTATTTTTATAACTAGTTTTGGTTTTTTTGGTAAACTATCATAACCTTAAAACCATTCATCTTATTGAATCAAAAGAAATGAAAAAGTATTCGTTATTACTCTCAGTTATTTCATAATTCTTGTCTTTTGTAAAAATTTATTTTCAAGAATTTTTATATAAATAGCACTCTTTTTAACTACTTACATTTATATTT